TCATGTAGCTGATTTTCCTCATATGAATTTAGAGAGAGATGTTATTTATTGATCAGCATATTTGACCACATAAAATCCATCTTTCACAGCATCTACCACTATGAGTTGTCATCTGTGACAATAGGAGTTTTCGGCTATCAGCAAATTTCTTTATATCTATTAAAATTTTGTAAATCTAATCTTATCAAGGTTATGTTTTTCAATCAAGTTTCAATGGCATGCTATTTCACTAAGTACGACTTTAGATAGAGAAGTTTTGGTTTTGTGTTGATAATTTTTAACAACAATAGTCATTATAAACTTGGTGAAAGACTTATGGAATATTTGTCATGTTTAATCTCTAAAATGATCACATGCAACTGTCCTCAGATATTCCAGGATTTTTTTTCTCTCTCTAATGATCTATTCAGTAAGAATGGTGAATTGGTGTGTGGTGGCTAAACTTGGTTGTCAACTTGCTATACCCGGGAATTTGGAATCTCTGCTAAGGAATGGTCTCTATCAGATTGTCCTGTGGGCACGTCTGTGGGGCATTTTCTTGACAGCTAATTGATATGGGAGGGTCCAGCCTGCTGTGGGCAGTGCCATCTCTGGAAAGGTGGGCCTGGACTGCTTAAGAGAAGTAGGTAGGTAGATGCGAATCTGGGAGCAAGCCAGGAAGCAGTATTCTTCCATGATCTGCTTCAGTGTCTGCTTCAGTTCCTTCCTCCAGGACCCTGCCTTGGCTTCCCTGATGATAGACTATAAACTACAAGTCTCTTTCTTCCCCGGATGGCTTTTGGTCATGGTGTTTATCAGAGCAACAAAAAAAAAGGAAGCCAACACAACTGTAAGTCAGCTTACAGCATCTAACAAACTTCTCCACAAGTCTCATTCTGTATGGTGCTAATGCCCAGGGCAAAGGTCAAAAGGATGAGACTGAAGCTTTTGGGAAGGTTAACATAGCATCACCACTAGAGTTCAAAGACCTTAAGAAACTAACAGGCTGTAGAAAATTGAGGTTGGTGATGTCTCAACTTCATGGCTCTCTGTGCCTCTGCCTTACCTCTCTTATCTAGAAAAGACCTCCTCTTGTTGATCATGGTTGTTCTACTCATAATCTGGATGTTCCCTAGCCCCCAAGGCTGTCCTGGGCTCTCTCTGCACTGGCACCTTTCTGTGTCCATTTCTGCCATCAATACCTTATCTTCTTCCCAATATTAAATACAGATTCAAATTTCTGAGGGGACGCATGGCTAGCCCACTGTAATCAGAAAGCCAAAGTTTGAGGAATTCTTTTGCAGGAATTTCTTTGACCTGAAATTGCTCCATGTGTGGTTCTACAAATCATCTATGAGGATCATAGTTCATGGCTCTAGTTCTTACCCAAGATTGTCTTTATGTGGCTACAAAACCATGCAAGAGGCTACCAGGATGCACTACTACACACCCTCTTTCCCCACCCTGGGTTATATGTGTCACCAAAAAGACTGCACCATCAGGGATGCGTGAGCTCACATCCCTATGGCCTGTAAATGGATCCTGTGTTAGCTGCTAAGTTCTCTGAGTCTGGGTTTCGTCATCCGTAAATGGAGACTCCTCACAGGGTAAAGGGGGACTTATAAAGAGCCTGACTCAGAAAGAAAAATACTTCCTCCCCTGGGAGGTCCCTTTTCTCTGAGAGAAGTCCAAGGAAGCACCTTCATCCACAGAGGGGACATTAGAATAATACTGTATGGATGGAACCGTGCAAAACCCAGGGAATGAATGAGAGAGCTGCCAGCAAGAGTCGTCCGTGGTGCTTCTCCCCCTGCCAAGCCTGATTTTCCCAGAGATACAGCGCGTCTTTGGATAAGTCGGCAACTGCTCGATCCAGATAAAGTCTCTCAGGCAGGCAGCATGTTTATACTCAAATGCCCACTTCTACTTCAAGTTTCCAGTCCCCTGCTGGTCTTTTCTGCAAACTTAATTAATTAGCTGTGGTGAACATTTGTTCAGCCTCACGCGGCACTGAGAGAATGAAGAAGACAGGCTCTCATAAATTAAAACATTTCAAAATATTGTCTTCTCCCAAGAAAACATTCCTTTTTTTTTTAAATTAACACTCCATTTGGATAACTTTAAGGTTTCAAAGGAAAACAAACAAGAAAGCTCCAACTGATGCTGTTTGTCTTTAGCGATTTCCCCCCATTGTTCTGCCCCATGGCTCCTCCTGTCCTCAGTACTGTCAGCCCCTTGGTAGATAGACCACAGATCGTCCCCACCACCACCACCCTATTTGTGATACTCGGCAAGTGTACCACGAATCCCTGGAGTCAAAATGCTTGCCATGCCCCAGCGACTGTTGAGGAAGAGGGGCGTGGACAGATTTTAAGAGCCAGAGATGAAGAACGACTCAAGTTAAACTGAGCTGTCCTGGGGCCGTTGCACACTGGAGCTCACAGTGGCTGTGACCAAATGCATGAGATGTAAGCAAGACCCGAACGCATGTGACAGAAGCGAAACCAATGTAAACGAACCCCAGCGTGGAGGAAGGGTGAAGTGTGAACTCCCATCCCTAGCACTGGAGCAGCTATTGGCAAATGAAGACTGCTGGGGGTAGGGACAGAGTCAGTTTTCATCAGGAATATGGTCCTGAAAGGCTACCCGTGCACATGCTGGCAGCATTGAGTGAACTTAGTGGCTTTTAGAAAGAAAGCACATAAAATTGGGAAGAAACAGTGAGCACAGGGGAGGAAATAGAGGGAACAGATAGGAAGTACGTTTGATCATACACATTACATGCATGTATGACACTCTCTAACAATAAAAAACAAATGTTTGCCATGTGCTCCTCAGTCAGAGGTTAAGATCTGCCTGGCCTGTGGATGACTCTGTTGTCTTGGGGATGTGAATCTTTCCAGTCATTTTGATGACGGTGGTATCAGCAATATGCTTTCCTTTGTTTCACTTCTAGGATATAATCACACAGGCTAAGCTTAGATATTAGGAAGAGAGACTGGGAAATGGACCTGACAGCAAGTGCTACCTTATCCCCACAATCTAATCCAGGGGATGCAGGGCCTGCATTAGATCCTGCTACAGTTTGGATCTTAAACATACTCCAAAGCTCTGGGTGTTCAAAGACCGTCCCTTATAAAGACACCATAGGAGGGAATAGCCCCTTGAGGTGTAGAGCCAGGGACCAGGAGATGGCTTCGTAGGTAAAGATGTAAGACAAAAGTCAGGACTTGCACTCAAAACCGCAGCATACTGGTACAATGCCAAGCATAGCTCTGTGTGTGCCTATAACCTAAGTGAAGTAGGAGACAGAGGCAGGAGGATTGCTGAGGCCTGTTGACAGCCATCACAGCTCCAGATTCATTGAGAGACTGTCCCTCAATGTGCCCATGAATCGCACACATAATACCACAACCGCCCCCCCCACACACACACACAGACAAGACCAATGACTCTTCTTTTCGTTGGGAACATCTGAAATGAACCTGTGGTACTATCTCTTTCTCTTTGCCAGTCATTCTTGGCTCTGAGATAAACAGTTTGCTGGGATGTACTATCTCACAGGCCCAAACCAACTGAGCCAACTGAGTCCCTGTTATGGTGGCTGTGGTTGCTGGGTTCATCATAAGGTGTCACAGCATCTTTCTTTCCTCTGTCTACATTCTAATGTCTCTTCATCCTTCATATGTGCTGATAATAATTCCAAGACTCAAAACTCAATGAGCAACACAGTTATAGAATCGTTGGTCAAGGCATAGACACAGAAGGATCCCTGAGGAGACCTAGGAGTGAAGGAAATAAGCATGGGTCACTGATCAGGCACCCTTAACTCAAGAGAAGCACGAAGCCACAGGTGTCCAGAGTTCTGTCAGTGGCTATGCTGACCACAAACAACAGAAAGTGGTGAAGGACGTCAAGATGGTTCAGTAAGTAAAGGTGCTTGCTGCCAATTCCTACCACCCAAGTTGGATCTCCAGAACCAACAGGAGAGTAGAAGAGGGCCTCACCTCGCAAAGTGTCCTCTGACCTCGACACTGCACATAGGACGCCCATGCCCACTGGCATGCACAAACATAATAAATAAGTAATAAACAATTAGTAGTAACTGGCTACAACAGTAGAAAAGGCCTGTCTTAGCTGTACAGATAGCAGCAATAGCCGCTTATGAAAAAGAATCTCTGCCTGCCTTAACCACAATGGTCATGGTAATTAAAATAAAACCTGATATATAGTAGGTCGGTTTTGCTTTGATCTTTGGCTTTGATTAGTTGTGACAATATGCTACTATGAGCATCCACATACCTTTATTTAAATATAGAGACACAGCATTTATCAGTATCTACAGCCAGATAGGGACAGGGGTATTGTATAATCTGTCTTTCTGTCTCTACATATAATGCACTGTGTGTGTGTGTGTGTGTGTGTGTGTGTGTGATGTTTATGTCAAAATACGAACAAAAATTTAAATGTACAATCAGCCTTCTGCCCCCATGAATTCTAAATCTGTATAATTAGCTAAGTATGGATAGATTATTGCAGAAAAAACTGTATATATACAGTCAGTTTTCTGTCCATTATTACCTGTCTGCAGTACGACAACCATTTACATGGTGTTCATGTGGTATTAGGTATTATTAGCAATTTCCAGCACTCTGGATGCTAAAGCAGAGGGATGGCTGCGAGTTCAAAACTTGGCAGGGCTACATAATACATTCTCACCAGCCAGGGGTTCAGTGTGAGATGTGTCTCAAAAAGTAGTATAAGGATGATTGGAATTCTATAGGAGAATATGTGTAGTTAAATGCAGCTAAATACATCATTTTATATATGGGAGTCATCCTCTGAGCTTGGCATTGGGAGGGGTTCTGGAACCAATCACCACAGGAATTGAGTGTGTGTGTGTGTGCGTGTGTGCGTGTGTGTGTGTGTGTGTGTGCCTGCATGTGTGTGCATATTTACATATATATCTGTATATAGAGACATGCATTGTAAATATACATCATATCATAGAGATAAACAAATGAGCAGAAAGAAAACTAGTTATTAATAATTCTGCTAAAACAGCACAGATTCCATTAGAGATGGCTATATATTGAACTAAACCAATATTTTCAACATTGCTTACACATAGGAGGGGTTGTCTAGAGCACAGCTGACACACAGGGTAAGCAGAATTTATGGGATGGAGCACCCAGGGAGGCACATCATGGCAAGCCTGGGCAGCTCTTCCTGCTTTGCTACTCCTCAGTGTTGGGAGCACAGATGCTGTATTTGAGATCAGTTTGGCTTGTGAGACTAACACGAAAACTCCATGCTAAAGCTAAGCAGAAGTGTCGAGAAAATCTCCCTTCCTACGGTAACACGCCACTCAGCCATGGATGTCGCACTCCATGCCTCTCATGGTATGAGAAAAGTAAAATCTTTCTGCTAAATCCACTGTTCAGGGACATTTGTTTTGAGCAGTCAAACAGCGGTCTTAATTGGTGCGAGAGGAGCATTGATCCTTACCCTCCAGGCATATGTACTCTGCTGACAGAACAGGAAAGGCATTTGTGTTTGACCTGGTTAAACAGCGTGGACTTGAATGTGATTGGCTTACACAGATGATCAATCAACAGCAGCGCTCCAGAGCTCAAAAAGAGACACGGGCGAGCGAGTGGTTGTCTTTGCAAAACCTTTCGAGGACATGAGGAGCTGAGCTGGTCCTAAAGCAGGGAGAGGTATGTTCGCAACTAGAAATAAAGGAAAGAGGGTTGAAAACACAGACGACAGTCAGAATTCAGGTCACAAAACCAGAGCATTGCACACTAACAGGTTGAGCCAGGAAGAGGTGGCACAAACCATGGTGAAGCTGAAGAGGAGGCTAGACTACACTCAGAGAAAAGAGGAGGGCAGCCTCGAGAGTTAGGATTTGAACCTGCAGAAGGTAAAGCCCTGCCCACCGTCAGTTACTCAGTTCTTCTCTTGGCTCCTTGGTTCCTGCTCTGTAGTTTCATGTTTCCAATTAGCTTCAATCTTTAGACACCACAGCCAGTCCCAGGTTGTGCTGGTTGATTGTGACTGTCCCCTCGATTGGGCTGAAAAGTGCCTGGGGATTAGGGAAGCCCACTTCAGCGTGTGTGTGGCTCACTGAGTGGGAGGAACCTGCCTTGAGTATGGGTGGCACTGTCCGATGACTGAGGACCACGGTGCAAAGCAAAGAGGGACAAGAGCCAGGGAAGACAGATATTTTCTCTCTGCTTCCTGGCCACCGTAAGGTTAGGGGCCTCTGTACAGCATGTCCAGTTGGAAGTTGCCTAGTCTCTGACAGAGTAAGTCAGTCGAATCATTCATCCTTCAGTGTAACACATATTCAACAAATATCTTTTCAATTAAAACTGCATTACATTTATCTGATGCTGTGGGTTAGGCCAGCAAAATGTCAACAAGTTAGACTGATCATTTGATTAATAAGCTGAGTGGTGTTTACAGGGGATGAGTCCATGAATAAATACCTCAGGGAGACTGATCACTTGTCTTTCATGTCCATAACACTCATCCTATGAGGGCTTTAGATGTCCCGTGTCAGTGTTTATATGAATCATAGAAACTAAAGGAAATGCCATTGTTTGTAGAATTTATAATGGTTTAGAGACCACTGATTTTAGTTCAGTTAAATCACATACATGGATAAACTTACTTTGGGTTGGCAGACAATTGCCTGTATCATTGTTCAAAAGGTAATGATTATTTCTTTTTATAAAAAAGATTTATTTATTTATTTATTTATTTATTTATTTTATGCATATGGATACACCACCATTGCTCTCTTCAGAGACACCAGTAGAGGGCACCAGACCCCATTACAGATGGTTGTGAGCCACCATGTGGTTGCTGGGAATCAAACTCGGGACCTCTGGAAGAGCAGTCAGTGCTCTTAACCACTGAGCCATCTCTCTAGCCTCAATTATTTCTTTTTTTTTAAATTTGTCTTACTATTTTATGTGTATGGGTGTCTTTTCCTGAATTCATGTCTGTGCAAGATGTTTTTGAGGTGCCACGAAGACCACAGAGGTCATTGGATCTCTGTGAAACAAAATTACAGATGGCTGTGAGCTGCCAATGGATGCTGGGAATTGAACCCTGGTCCTCTGGAAGAGTAACCAGTGCCCTTAACATCTGAACCATTTTTATTGCCACAGCAACTATATCTTGTCAAAAATGGAAACATATAGGATGAAACCAGCTGTGCCCACCGAGGATTCCTAATGAGTTCTGAAAACTCATATTGTCTCTTTTGTTTATCAGACACACTCAGCAGTGCTGGGCTTGTCCCCTTTGAGTCAAAAGCTACAGTTCCTTTAGTAGGTGCAAGCTGAGTCCACACTTAAAGATAAGTCAGAGTAGGAATTATGTTTACAGAGAGATAATCTATAGTCCCATATGATAACTGATACCTTTGATAGTCTCACCTAATCAAGGTGACTAAGCCACCAGTACAAGCACATCCTAAGGGATATGTTCTCACTAAACCAACTATGCTGCAAGCCTTTGTTTTAACAGGTCAGACGACACATAAGAGAAAACTCTGAATAATGTGTTTTTAAAATTTTCCTTTCATCTTGACATCACTGAATGATTGGGAGTGCTCTCCATTAAGTTCCTTAATGACAATATCCTTTCCTCTTACGAATGCCTTTGAAGTCTCCCACCACCTACTACAAGCATTTGGATATTTCCCCAGCAAGAGTGGGCAGGAGGCCAACATAAGCCACCAGGTGCCAATATTACACCTGACAAATTAGCCACACGACTGGAAAAGGGTGGGACCATCCTCCTGTGACAGCCTCATTTCCTCTCGCTTAACCATGAACAGGAAGTCGTTGGAATGAGGAGAAAAACTTTCCTTAAAGACCCAGGAAGACAAAAGGGCTGGCTGGTGAAGAAGTTAACTCCTTGCTACTGAACAATTGAGAGGTGGCTTCAAACAGACTCAAGGCTTTGTTTGAATCGCTTTGCTTTACCCTGCTGACTCCTGGATTCCATGATGTTGTTGTCATTGATTTAGCACCCAGTGCTCATGGCCAGATGGGGTAGGTACCCTGGATGCTTGAGAACGGTTGACAGGGGAGGCTGATCTATTGCCCTTGGACAAATCAAGAGACTCTAAAGTTTGAAAGACCCTGAGAAGCAGAGCTTGAACAGAACATACTGACAGAAAGAATCTAAGGAGAATTAACTGAGATCCTGAAACAAACAACTGTACCACAGTCACGAGTGCTTGGTGCAACTAAATGCCCTATTCCTATTCCTCCTGAAGGAATTAATCAACTTGATCAGGGTTCAATAAGGAATAATAAAAGGAATATTTTCTAGCAGAAAAAATCTTGGTGCTACCTCAAGAGAAACCCACTATGCTGTATATCTGCAATGCAAATAAATTATGAAAATTCATTTATATGCATGCACTTTAAAAAAAAATAACTATTACCACCCAAAAAAGACATCAAGTTGGGAGGAGGTGGGCTGAGGTGGGAGGGTGGGTCCAGGAGTCAGGAGGAAGAGAGAGGCGATATGGTCATGTATGGACCTCTCAGAAAAATGAATTTAAAATATTATAATTTGTAAAAACTCTATTACAAAAAAATTATATAATGTGGAGTGTCCTAGAACTTTCCTTTTTGCCTAGCAACACAGCTGGCATCTGTCCTTGGTGGTGTATACAGAGTATCTTCACTAACTGATATATCCAACCAACCTTGGTAGGAGAGCCAGGAGCCCCGCCCTTTCTTCACCCTTCTTTTTACCATAAACAGGTTAAACCTGTTTATTCAAATGTTCCCTAGTCGTATACATGTCTTCTGAGAATTGCTCGTTTTACATGCTTTGCTAACTTTTTTTAGAGCCAGCTTGTCTACATAAATTGTATACTCTCTTTGAATGATGGCTCCAAGCCCTCTTCCGAAGAGTCTAATCCAAATCTTGTGTCCCCGTACACCATTTCTCTTTTAATTTTCTGATGATTGTTTTTTAATGAAGTCGAGTCTGTTGGGTTTTCCTTCCTGACCTCTGGCTTTGCCATGTAACTTATGAAGAAGTTCCAGCTCACGATTACATCTTAAAGGTTTAAGCCATTTCTTATTGTACTTGCACAGATCCTAGTTTTATGTTTAGAGGTTTGTTCCATCTGGAATTTACTTCTGTGTGTAGTGTAAGTCCAGATGGAGAAACAGTTGTCCCAGCACCACGCACTGAACAATGTACTGTTCAGCCATGGATCTGAAATACCTCCACACTCACTGAGACAGCCTCGGTTGTCCTGGGTCTGCTTCTGGACTCTAATCTTGGCTAACTGATATCTCTGCCATTTGATGTGGGCACTGCATTGTTTAAGACATTCAGTTTTCTTTGGTAACTACTAAGATGTGTCTAGACTTGTGCAAAAGAAACTGGGTCTTTGTTTCCCATGAAAAATAGGATGGACTGATCCAGTTCACTGAAGGTCTTGTTGGAAATGGGATGCCGTTTTAGTGTATGGGAAAGGCAAATGAAATTTCACATCTTATAGGCATCTGATTAAAGCTCAACTCACATTTCATAAAATAAAGTTATACATATATATATATATATATATATATATATATATATATATGCTTTAAAAATTAATTCACTTAGGTGAACATGGAGTGCCTATCCCCAAATGCATATCTAATATCTATAGCATAACTCCTCCAATCAATGCTCAGGAAACATTGCAGAAGAGGGAGCAGAAACACTGTGGAATCCAGAGGGCTAATAGAACTGCTGCAAAGTAAGGTCTGCTGGGCATGCCCAGGATGCTCTACCCATGAACTCTCAGCAATATGGCTGTCTACAAAAGTCCACACTAGAATACAGGCCAACATGGAAAGGTCAACTGTTTTAAAATAATCGAACTTTCTTAGTCCTTCTACCCTTAGTTGTGGAGCTACTGAGGGAGGGAGGGTCATTTTTCTCCAGAGACAAAGCTCTGTTAGGTTACTCAAGACTAATTATATATTGGCAATATTAATCGGACTCAGTAAGATGCCTGTGTGTGTGTGTATGTGTGTGATCAGGTATATGTATGATCATGTGCGTGTGATCAGGTATGTAATTATGTGTGTGATAAAGTATATGATCATATGTATGTGATCATATGTTTGATCATGTGTGTGTGTGAGATCATGAGTGTGTGTGAGATCATGTATATGTATGATTATATGTGTGATCATGTATGTAATCATGTGTGTGATCATGTGTGTATGATCATATGTGTGTGATCATCTGTTTGATCATATGTGTGTGTGATCATGTGTATATGTGATCATGTGCATGTGGAATCATGTATGTAATTCCACGTGTGATCATGTGTGTGATCATGTGTGCGATCATGTGTGTGTGTGTGAGCATGTGTATATGTGATCATATGTGTGTGGAATCATGTATGTAATTCCATGTGTAATCATGTGTGCGATCATGTGTGTGTGATCATGAATGTGTGTGATCATGGAAGAAGATGACATGAATTGAGGGGTAGATGTGGAAGAGAAGGAGCATTGGAAGGGCTCAGGTATGGAAAGGGAAGAGTATAAATGATATGAACACACTATACTCATATATGTAATATCTCAAAAATAATAAATAATCATCAAACTAGACATACCTTTAATCTCAGGAGGCTGAGGCAGGCAGATCTCTGAGAGTTTGAGGTGAACCTGGCTTACATAATGAG